ATAAGTGGGAGTTGTGTTTTCACTTTAATTTAAAAACAGAGAGAAAGTCGATGGCAGGCAACTCAAAATGATCAGCATGGAAAGTGCTGAAAAGTTTGGGAAATGGTATCAATGATGACAAATCTATGGCAGGTGAGTTGGTGCCAAGAACACAAAATAGAATCTTGGACTATCGTACCCTGCTTTCTTGGGAAAACCTAGAATTGCATCAGTGAGACAGACACGCACACACACCCACACAGACACGTCTTTTCAGTGGGAGAATATGGGAAATCAGACAGAAATGTGAGAGGGGGGAAAATATTCCCCCATCTAATAATTATCATTACAGTTTCCCCTCCTTTTAACAGTGGGCAGATGGGGATGGATGTGATATTTTCTTCCCTCTCTCCCTTTCTGCGCTGATCCTACATCATCAAAAATTCAAAATATCTGTAGGTTGAGAAGTAGGTTTCGAGAGACAGCCTAATGTTTTGAAGTTGAATTTAATTCAATCTCAAAGAAATGCTTTTACCAAAGACTGTGGTACCCCCTATTTTCCAATAGGGCTGGACCTGAATAGCTGACTATTCGGCTATTTGTTCATTGCGTAGGTAATCGGTTTTCAATTCTAGCACTCAAACACCCCACCACCACCTACCACCTCACAGCAGTGCCAGTGACACCTACAATCCTGCTAGCAAAGCTCCCCATGGAAATGACTCAGGCTAGCAGCATCTATTGATCTTTGTTGTTTCTGGTTAAAATGACAACCAGTGGGGTCATACCAGCTGTCACTAACGTTAACTGCAAACTCCCCAACACACCCACCCCAGGTTAAAACTTTAATGAGGAGGCTAACTTTTAAAACTGATGCGAGATCAGCTGATGGCTTTACTAGAGATGATGGTTCACTATGTCAGAGTCATTGAAACTACAGCCACACCAGTGTTTCCCCACAGATTTACATTCTAATTACCTTAAACAGTTACCTGAAAGCAGAGAGCAGTGTTGTTTTGAAGCTCGTTTCTCCACCAACAACAGCGTGTTTCATTAAGTAATGGAATTAACGTTAGATAGCTGTGGCTGGTATGCCCTGCTGTTTGTCATTTTAACCAAAAATGGCAACAATCAGCAGCGGCTAAAAATGGGAAGGTGCTACATGAATGATTTCTACACTGAGCTGACAAGAGTGTCACTCGACTAAAAATTTCTCATAAGAATGAAGAATTTCACTGGAAGTTGACAATTTGCATGCCTGTTCATCCTCTTAAAAAAACTGGACAATTCTAGGTGAAAGGCACTTGAACACACAGTAACACTTTATCTGCTGTGCTAATAATGAAATTCCAAATTTCATTCCTTCTCTGCCCACCCCACTAGCTGAAGGGCACTGACAACAGCAGTGAAGACAAAGGGAAGCAGACCAAAAGATACCTACGCCTCTACAGAATTAATTAAATTACACTGGTAGAACTCAAATACTAACCTTTGCATAGGTTAACTGTTTTTGTACATATTCTTAGAAAAGGAGAATAAATAAATAATTCCATTCAGACCTGCTGCTGATTTCCCCTGGTTCCAGTCATCACATCTACTGCATGTATAACAAAGGCATCTGGCATTTTCCTCTTTTTTTTTGTAGACTTAATGACCACACTTGGTGGAAGGGGTGTTGAAAAACAGAGTGAAATCATGTCCGAATGAATGTGCTTTTTTTATGTCACTATGTTATGGTATTTGCCTCTACTTGCAAATCCTTGTGTGCATGTTAGTGTCTGTATGAATTTGTTTACTAAGGTCATCAGTGACTCATCTCAGCCACCAGGGGGAAACCTAATTAATTTACTAGCTTTCCTGGCAGCTCATAAACACAATACTGAGTTACAGCCCTGCTCTGTGCAAACCAGCATAGCATACTGAGTAAGGTGTACACACGGTCATCTGAGGATGCCACACTTTTAATAGTTTGTGTATGTGAGAGAGACAGACTAGTGTCTGTATAGCCACAGGTGGTACCCACTGTTCCACACATATTCACAGGCCTTCCTCACTCGTCTATAAATCATATGACCATTTACATGGTTAGCACAAAACCCACGAAAACAGGGTTCTGAATTTCAACTTTTCTTGTATATGACAGACCACAGCAATCATGAATTGCTTTAGCAAATATTTCAAGGATAATAAAACTATTAAACCAAAAACAAAGCAGTTAGCACAGAAAAACAGCACCATGTGCAAATGCATAATTCTCAGAGCTAATTAGGGGAGGGCCTGAAGTCCTGTCACTAGAGATAAAAGATGAAAGGCTGGGGTGCGGTTGGTTGGTTTAGCTTGTGCTTCAGCTTGTGCTTCGAGGCTGGAACTGGTCTGAGGGTCAGCTGGAGCTAAGCTGATCCCAGCCAGTCCCTGGTGCCCTTTATCAATTATGTCAGGGGGAAAATACTATTTACGCCTGGCTGGACCTTGCCCTGCGCTCCAGTGCCACTTATCCTTCATCGCCTCTTTCTGTTCATTTCCTAACTGCAAGCTGCTGGGACTGCGAACAGAAAAGCTGCTCCGCAAGATGCGACAGCTGCTCATGTGTGTGCAAAAGTGAGGACAGGATGGTGGCTAGCCGACATGGTCAATACCTTACACACACACACACACACACACACACACACACTACAGGCTTCTAAACACAGTCACAAAAACACCAGTCATTCTTTAGCCTTCGCTGACTTGTGTCTTCAGTTTTGCCACCGTCCTCCTCATCTTGACTGTGAACTGTTCTTTCACAAAAGAATTCCATCTTCTTTAACTGAATGACATTGCAATTTACGTTTGATGATGTTCCTCTTAACAATCCTCTCCTCCTCTCGCTCTCAGCACTAATCTACCTCTGAGGCAGCCCATAAACAGTGCAGCATGATGTGTTTTCCTGAAACCAAGACCGATTTAAACTACCATCTGGTATAGCTTTAACAGCTGTCCATTAACAATGTTATACACATGATGGGAGTCCAGCAACTATTGCTTAACAAACTAAAAACAGTCAAGATGGTCATACTTGTGTTTATCAACTACAAACAAAAATAGGAGGAAAAAAAAAGACGAGAGAGGACAGAACAGAACAGTGGAATGCATGAGAAATACACCAAGCAAGAATGCTGAACATAAAGAATGAGAAAATGAAACAGGTATGTTCTCAGCACAACAAGAGGTATTATTTTTGCCAAGATGGGTTCACCCCACCTCTGTATAAATGGGACAAGGCGGAATGGGGGGTTGAGGGTCAGCGTGAGAGAGAGAGAGAGCTAGGAATGAATGAAGATTGAGTGCAAGTCAGTGATAATAAAGTGAACAGAATTAAAAAAAAATATTTTGTGATTGTTTACTGGTGCTTACTTTCTAAAGGAGGAATAAACACAGCCACACCTCTGCACAACTCTGAGAATGATTTGGTGTTAATGTAGCTATAACACACTATTCTATCTGTTACACTGCACCTTGTGTGTGTGTCCCTGCCCTCAAACACAGACCTGAAACTGGATGCATGTAGTAGGCTACTCTAATTCCCGATTTCCATTTATAAATACATCAAACAAAATCAGATAACAGCCAGTTTGTTTCATTTTCAAATCGGCCACAGAATACACAGACCATTAGCCGTCACGATAAGCATCACAGCTCTAATTCTGGCACATGTGTAAAACAAACATCAGTATGCTGGCATTTTCAAGTACAGTGTAAAAATGCTTAAATCAAAAAAGCTGCCTGAAAGGAGGGTCAAAACACTGGCGTTCTGCTGTGATCTCTGTGCAAAAGGGCTTTGTATGATGTATAAACCATCTACTTACATCAGGGTACTCTTTGACAGGCACAAACAGCTTTTCCTGCAGGTGGACGATGGGTCCAATAGGCTCAGGCAGCTCTAGCGGGTGTCTGTCCACAAGGCCATTCACTGTGTCGCTGTACATGTCTTTACGCACTCTGTTGATCTCTGAAACACACAGAAATTTGTACACTGCAGTAAGCAACCCCAAGAGTACAATCACGCATTGTTGTTTTGTATTTGATATATCACTGTCATATTGATCTTGACTTCTGGGCAAAAGCTTAATGTAGCATATAAATCTTTGTTGTAAAAGGGGAAGAGGCAACTTTTTTTTTCAGTTGCCTTGAGTACTGTTTGTCTTCATTAGACAAACAATTGTAAAACTTTGTTTTTGAGAGTTCTTCACAAAATCATAGCCTGTGAGTGTGAAATATGACAGATGGGCAGGAAGCGTCCTAAAACTTGCAGGAAATAATTTTTCAGATTTAACTATCCTGACTAAAAACAGTGGATGTGAGCAAGTTGTTTTATATTACAAAGACAAAAGTTAAGCATGCATCACTGTGGGGTTATGACCACCATGCTTCCTTTCTGCCTGGTACTCCCCAGTGGCTGCTCTTAGCCTGTGTGGGCAGGTGCACAGGAAGTGGAGACACACACAGAACCGCTCAGGCATGCTTTCAGATTGTATCCCTTTGTCAGATAAAACTAATGGATCTCTCTCTTGTTCAAACATACACACTGCCAACAGAGACTTCTGCTCCAACTCTCACACACATTCCCCTGAAATTCACGCACACCCCACTTTGACTGCTACTGTAGCTCACACGAATTCACACACCAGAGAAATGCTGCGCTATGCAGGTTGAGAAAACGTGTTCATACTGCCCATTCAGCGTGTACGTAGTGTGTGTGTCACAGTTGGATCAATGACTGCAGTTGTAACACCCGTTAATAAAGGACATACACTTGTCACACTTTCTAACTTCTCACATTTGCCGTCACAAAACACTGCTGCCATAGCTGAACCAAAAAGCTAATCAGTGGTAAAGGGCAGGGAAACGTGATCAAATAAAAGGCATCTACAAAGACAGGCTTTTACGTTTGAGTGTGAAACAGCTGAAACAAAATGGTGGGGCTGGTGAGGCCTCAACTAACGATGTGTGTGGGAGGGTGTTAGGTGCTATTTCCATCTCTATTGAGACTTTCAGGCAGTTGAGGGGCACTATATTAGACTCCAGCTGGGAAGCCTGAAACTCAAATATAGATGCCCTTAGTAAAAAGCATGCCTCACTTCCAAATCTAATCCTTAACAGTAAAGTTAATTTGGGTCAAATTTATACAATTAGTTTTTAGTGTAGGTCCTGTCTTTGTTTTAAGTTAGAATATGTATATATACATGGGAAATAATAAGACACTTTAGTAGAACCCATCAATTTAGCCATGCAATTGGTTTGTGGGGATTTCCTGTGGAGCTGAAAAATTGCTTACTCTGGATAACAATGATGACAGACTTACAATGTGTGAGTGATGTGCTCATGGACACTGATATGCAGACACAAAAACAACTGGCCTCCAGCTGTGTGGACAACACCTGCAGGACAGACCAGAAAAAACTAAACGCGCCACAAGATTCGGCCCAAAGTGATTCCGTCCCAAACTGCATGACTTCACCACTCCATGATGAATTCATCCTCATGGTATCTAGTCCAGAGCACAGATTGCATCAGTCCTAACCGACAGCAGCAGCTTGGGGTCACATTCAAGCTTCATGAAGGAATGGATAGGCTCGACAGTGATACATCAAAAAGGAAGGAAATCAGCACGGCCTGACAACACAGAGACAATTAATTGCAAATTAATGTGTGTTATGTGGCCAATGGAATCCCCTGGTTCATTTAACTTAAACATGATGCCCTAGTGGTTAAAGAGACAATAGTGCAACCAAAAGGTCAAAAGTTAAATCTAATTAGCTGCTATGTAGCCTGGTAGCCCTTCTTAAAAAAAAAATCATTAAATAGCATATTGTAAAATAAAATGTACCCGCTTGCTATAAATCCTAACTATCTGGTTTGTCTAGCTCTTTAAGTCAACATTAATAAACATAGAAAAATTATGTATCTAAGAACATTCATCCTTTTGATAACAGGACATATAATGAAGTGTTCACATGTGACAATGCAACCCAACAACCACTAGCAGCACGCCTCCTCCTTCTAATTCTATTCCTTCTTGCTGAAATGCCACATTAACATAAGGGGCTGTGCTGGGCCATCAGTGGAGACGCGTGGCATTTGACAACCTCTAATTTCAGTGCAGCAAGTCTTTTCTGAAGCGCTGCGCTCACCTAAAAATTACCCCCTGCCTTGCGTGACCGACAAAATCATTTGTCTAGCTGTCCACCCCAGCAGAAAAGGCTGTTTTTAAAAGAAAGACAAAAGGGATGGAGTGTGAGGATCACTATCTTGGAAGGAACAGACAAAAGAGGAGAAATGAAGACAATAAACAGGAGTAAGAAAAGGGTAGGCTTTCAAATGAGAACGTCTTTTGAACTTTGGCACTGGATGGCAAAAGTCTGGATTATGTATGTGATAAATGAGAGAGTAGTAACGGATCCTCTGTTACTACTCTTCAGCCATCTATCACTTCAGTGCCACTGTGTCATCCACAACCTTACTCAGCAAACCACACATACATAGCACCTTCCTGTCAGAGCTGTCTGTTTACCTGTAGAGGGGTGGCTGCATGAACACACACACACACAGATGTTGTTTAGTTTTTTTACAAAGACATCTGTCAGAAATTGACCTTGAAAGTAGCTGGAGAGCAAAAGTGGAAGAAGGTTTCATGAGACAAAAACCGCAAAAAGAGAATAATAACCATAGTGCAGAGCTAACAAAGTGTAGCTGTATTCCTCTTGACTCGCATTGCTCTTTTCTGCCTTGATGCAAGTTAAAACACAATTCACTTCATCCTTCTTTTTTGTTTCTCTCAATTCTGCCTTTTCTTTTCAGATCTGCTGTGAATAAAAAAAAAAAAAGGCACAGACAGTCGCTGCCTATCTATCTGCCCTTTGTAAGCTTAAGGAAAGAGTATTTCTGCTCATCTGCTCCTTGATCTTGGCATTGTGGAAAGACGAGCACCCAAAGGGAAGGATGTGGGAAGACGGTGAAATGGGGAACATGGGAAATGGTGTGGCTATAAGTTGAGATCCAAGAATCAAAGTGGGGTCATGTCAGTGGAAGGTAAGTGTGAATGTTCATTCCTAACCTTGTGAAAAGCAGCTAAACAAAAAAAAACTCAAGGTCCATTTACTAGCTTGTTCTGGAGTTTAAGGATTTCAAGGTCTTCCCTTAGTGAATTAACTTTTCACACCTGTTAACAAGTGACCCACGTATTACACTTAGTTCAATATTTGTGTCACATGATGACAGTTAAGCTATCACTATGACGGCTGAGCAAACGCCATCTGCTGAGAAAGACAGATGGTGCTGAAGAAATTTTTTGGTCAAATTTAAGAAGATGCCTGAATATTGGTGCTATAACAAGAGTCACTGGTGAAGAATAGCTTTGTGCAGCATGACATCAGATTTTTTCCTACACAGAAACCATTACCAAGCAGGGCACTGTAAAACTTGGCCGAAGTGGGAGATTCATGTGCACAAGGGAGGAAAAGATATAAGGGACAATGAAATTGTTGAATTGTATCTACTCATCTCAATGAGCGATATTTGACAGTCACTGTGAACTCAGCACTGTGGAACGGGGAAGCTTTTCATTAATTTACCCAGCCTGATGCCAAATACATGATCACAAAGAAAGGGCATTGGCAGAATCAGGGGAGGTTGCCATGAGGAGAGGAGAGGCACAAGCTGAACGGACGAGGCACTAATATTTACTGATGTTGCAGCCCCTCTAACATAAACACAGCACGAAGACAAACTTGGGTGAATGAAGTGAATAAATGAAGAGAGCTCAAAGAAGGGATATAGAGATATGAGAGCGAGAGAACAGACTAAAATTAAAAACAATAGGGGAGTCCAGAAGGAGGTTTAAGACTGGTGAAGATTATTCAGCTAGACTTCCTCCACTAGAGAATGGGAACAAGTCCATTAAGAGGCCAAAAATAGACCTGCTCTGTAACTGCTTTGTCCTCACCATGTAGCTCACAGCAAAATGTCCTCTGACCAGAGTACATCTGTTCATACACACACTGTGTGTGTGTGTGTGTGTGTGTGTGTGTGCGTGTGTGTATGAGAGAGAGTGAGAAACAGAAAAAAAGTTAAAGAAAGGTAATGGGTGGTTAATCAGTGTGATCAGCTTTGCCTGAGCAAAGTAGCTTTAGATGCCTTGTGATGCCTAGTATTAGGCTGATAATATCTGGCACCTGAAACAGATTGAGTCCAACACCAATTAATCTTAATGCCAAAATGATCAAATGTTCAGCCCTCCCTGTTTTAGTGTAATTTAAGATCAAAAACCTGAAAAATCTTTTTTCTGCATGCATGCTCAATTACTGATTTAAACAGAAAAAAAATGACTGGAAGCTGAGGTAAATATAGACATAAAATGTGGTGGTTGGGTTTATATAAAAAAAAAAAAAAAA